AAAAAAAAAATTAAATACTAAATTAAATCTATGATCCGAGTCGCGATGGATTGTTTGTATTTTCGTAAATTAGAGAGGTCATTGCATGCGACTTTTGCAAATGAGTGTTGAGCTTGGCCTTACTATCAAATGCTGATTTGCAATCGGTTACGGTGCATTTAAATTTTCGATAAACATTTCGATCGGTGTGAGTTTGTTCATGTGGTCTAACGTTGTAACTGTAAGCAAATCTTCTTCCACAAATCGAGCAACTATACGGCTTCTCCAATGTCTAAAAATTAGGGAAAAACAGACGTTAAAAGAAATAAGTATATATTTGACAATATATGAGCGCATTGAGATACTTACGTGTGTCTTTAGATGGCGTCTGTGGAATTTATGAAGAATACGTGAAAAAATAAATAAATTGAATTAAATAAGACTGTTGTAGGAAAAAAATTAACATTTCATCAAAAATTTGACACACCAAAACCTTTCAGCGCAAAACTCGATGGTCCAACATGGAACAAACTTTAGAATAACTTTGAAAAGTGATATATTTTATGCATACATTTTACTTATATTTTCTTATAGTGTAATTATTGAAATCTTTCATTTGTAACATATTTTCCAATGTTCTTGCGATTGTTAAGGGGCCATACAATGTTGCTAGCTAGCTATTTATATCAGCTATAGGTATATATAAATAGCTGCTATTTAACGCATCTCTTCGCTCGGACGGTGTGAATGCTGGACATAACAATGGTCTCATTGTTTGAAATATAGCAATAGCTGATATAGATAGCTAGCTAGCAACATTGTATGTTGAGGGCTGAAAGGCATTTGTGTATAAAATTATTGGTATCAAACTTTCAGTTGGCAGTGTATATGACATCTTAGAACAATATATACAGGGTATTTAGTAATTGTTAGTTGATCAGATCGATGAGCTATGGCTTTGATTAAATAGTTCTTAACCAATATGTGGTATAAATATATCTTCACAATTATCCAACACCTTATATATATTATAACCCTATAAATAAGTTTTAGATAAAAAAATCTTCTTTAAATTTACGTTAAGTTTTTCGTCTCAACGAAGGCCAAGGGACAGTGCGGGCATTGTTTCGTCTTCATATTCAAATGATATTTCATGTGAGTATTCAATGAAATGCTCCTCAAAAATGTTTTACCTTAATGAATCATATTAAAATTTAAAAATAAAAAATTTATATTTATATAAATATTAAAATTATATTTTTACCACAGATGGTGCATTGATAATTTCGCTGATTGGAATGAATTCTTGTGTGCTTCGTCAATGTTCCTTTGAATGTAAATGTCAAATTACAAAATACACACTGTAAAGCCGGAACATTTTCGTGAAGTTTGGCATGAGCTTCGAATGCTTCCTGATTTTCTGATATATAGAAACATTTACTGCAACGAAATTCCGGGATCAATTGTTCACGGTGCCACTTTCTATGGGCCTAAGGTGTAGATGTGTGTTTTTTTTATTTTTAATGGTTTTCTCAGAACTTATCTCTAATTTCAACATACCACATATTCAACCAACTTATGGAATACTTGTTCACAATCTTTGCATTCGTATGATCTTTTTTCACGTTTTTTACGCGGTTTTGTTTCCTCTGTAAGGTCTTTGTTTTTCGGTTTACGACCACGTTTCTTTGGAGTCGATAATTCACCATCATCTTTTTTCACTTGCTGTGGTTTTGCCTAGGGTTAATCACAAAGAAAAGAATGGAAATAATGGAAATTAATCAATATGTAATGGAACGTAATGGAAGTAATGGAAACATATAATGAAAATCAAATATGTATAGTTTAAGAGCAAAGTAATCGTCACACATTTGCAACAGCATTGCTTTAATTTGAGATTTGATAGTAGTGTTAAGAATCGCGTTCTGTTGTGGAAGAACAGAACTACTACTACTACCAAATCTCAATTTTTGTCAGCAAAGTGTTTGCTAACGCAGCTTCGTTCAATTCATTTGCAAATTGTTTTTAATTTATGTTTGTATATGTGTGATCAAACCCTTACTACTTTCTTACATACTAAATAGATTTTGATATTGTGATTTTTTGAAATGGATGTAATGGAAAAATAATCGAAAGAATGGATCAATAATGGAATAGTAATTTTTAAAGTAAGTATACCTGTGGTTTTGCTCTTTTAGCTTTAATAGTACCTAGATCAGAAGAAAAGAAAGGAAAACGTGGAAATTGATCAAGAAGTAATGGAATAAAATTTTTTAAGTAATTATAAAGCCTTTAATAATACGTTTTTGTGGAATATAATCGTAGTCTTCATTATCTTCACAGCTAGAATCGTCTTCAATTTTAACAGTAAAATCTGGATCTTCCGGTTGATTATAAATAGCACCATTATCCATATTATGTTCATCAAATTCTTCATCAGACTCTTTGTCTTGTGGAATTAAAACATCCAATGGTTCAACCATCACCTTTATCATTTCATCATCGCCAGTAAGTTCATCGTTCGATTGCTCAGTGAAATCAATTAACGGATCATCACCAATTGATTTGTCAATCCTTACATTTGAACCTATGTCACCAATATCCCTATTCAATTCAGCATCACACAACTTATCGCTTTTTATCAACAAATCGTATAATTCTTTTTCCTGCTGTTTTACCATTGTGCATGTCCAGTCGTATTCTTTAAATAGAAAAATATCATAAATTCGTAAAACAACTAAAAATGAAACTTTTTCAAACGAATACCTTCAAACCTATTGAGGCAATCGGCACAAATACAATTCTGGACATCATCTATGTTTCGTGATAAATTAAAATCGCCCAAAATTTTTCTCATGAAATCTGTAATAAAGGTGCATGAATGCTGCGATTTCAACCCGCATAAATCATTTCGCCAATCATCTGTTTTAACGTGACAAACAAAACACTTTATAACCGGATTCATTTTTACTTTGTATATCCACAATTTCGCTATGTTGTCCAGCACTAATATTAGTTAGTAATTCATTTTTAAAATCAATGTGATCTCTTTTTTTCAATAATAACTCTCTTTATTTACATCAAATAAGATGCATTAAAATGTCAAAATGACAAGTCAGATAAATTGTGACATATGCTTGTATAGAATTTGGGACAAAATGTTTGGCATTACATAGAGTTGATCGGAAGAAAAGAATGGAAAAAACGGAAATTAATCAATAGTTAATGGAACTGAATGGAAAATGAAATTAAAAAAAGAAAGGAACAATTGTTAGCGCAAATCACCCATTACCAGGCCCAAGTTTACGGTCGAATTTGGGGTAGCATTCGTGTGTAGTTTCAGTCAATTTTACCGTCGCAATGGAAAGAAAAAAAGAAAAGAAAGCACAATTCAATTAGACTGATATGAAAAAATTGACTTGATTCATAATCATCATTATGCTATTGTATATGCAATAGACTCCACTTACCGAGTACAATTTATACCAAGAGGTACTCGTACTTTGGCAAGGCCACAATTTAATCAAGCCTAGCGAACTAACAAATAATTGTTATAAACTAATTTCTAAATTTAGTATTGTTTGAATGTTGTTGAATGAGGGCTGCTACTACTGCGGCTGCAGATGTCCATTGTTGACATTCTGATTCTGACCTCGATACAACGGCAATGGCTGATTGTTGTCAACACGGCGTGGTCTCCGTACATTTGGATGAATTGTCCGCTTGAACACCACGCATTCACCTACCGAATGATACATAACAAAAACACATTACATGTATAACAATTGCTTCAAAATTTGTATCAATTTCAATTGATTGCATACCTTTGTAGAGGATCAGCTTCGCTGCTGCGATATCACGGTGCCATACAGTTGTGAGCGTTGGTTGTGCTCCGGCAGCTCCCTCGATTTCAACGTTTGCAACATTTGGTAGCCATGTTTTGAAGAAGCGTTGCTTCTTTGACACCAAACGACCTGCATTCGGTCCATCTCGAAGAGTTGCAGCAATGACATCGCCTATATCACGCATCTCGCGCCACATTCGTTCAATTGTTCGTCGCATTTGTAGTAATCGTTTGCTCACATTGGTTACGATGGTTCGTGGTAGTCCAACAATTGGATTTGGTACACAACCCACACATTTCTTGTATCGATCACGTCGAGTTTCTTGTGGAAATCGCTTGAAACACAATGGGCAATGCTGTGATGTCATATACTCATCGACCATCCGAACGATACAATTTCCACGTTTCATGATGGCTGCAATCAGTTTGCGAGTGCCTGGGCATCGCACGTGTTTTTTGATTTTGATCGGTGAGTTGGCTGGTGTGGATCCACTGGCTCCCATGTAGAAAATTGATGGTTGATTGTGAACCATTTTGCATGCCGTTTTGTCGATTGCACGAACCGATTCGATATGCTTGTCCAGTCCCAAGCGTGCATACTGTTTGGTTGAGTATGTTTCAATGCCATCATTCATTACACGTAATCGATGTTCAATGTACGAACGCCATGATGGTCCTTTTGGCGATGGCATTTCACCAATCATAGCTGCAATTCGATTACGATCGGCTTGCTCTTCGAAAGTAAACAATCTTGTGATTCGTTCGGCTTTTGCATTACGTCGGCCTTGTTTCGCATCCCAGTGATATCGCTTGCTGGATATACGCAAATTCACCCATGGCCTGGAAATGCCTATTTAATTTACATATAAACGAGTGAGACTCAAACATGTTCTTCTTTTTCCATCGAATATACCAGTGGCGCCACCAATTTTACATATAAGCGCATACAAAATTTTCAATATGGCTGCGCCCATGAGAGAGAAAATTTCGTCTCATTCATTTCCGCCCCATGAATTCACCTAACAAAATGAAAACAACAAAAACAACATTGTATTCACAATCACAATCGCTTTCATTCATTATTAAATGACAAATTTACCTCTTCTTTGGTATGCAAATCTCGTCGTACGGAAGCGTTCCACGTTCGCATACCCGGATCACATCCAACAGCATATTTCAACTCATTGCTGTCATACATTGCCTTGATTTCGTCATCTGTTGTCTCGACTGGTGGTACTTTCGGTTTTTTGTACATCAACGATACAGATACGCCATCGGAACAAATTTGAGAATCGAATTCCTTTTTGTTGTGCACAAGTTTGAGAATTTTCTCCACATCGAAGAATAAATTCCAACTTAGGATTTTATTTGTGCGGAATTCGTTGCTCGTGATGTTTTTGAAATTTGTTGTTCCGTCTTTACGTGTCCGTTTACCGCACTTTCGAGGCACCAATTTCGCATTCGATAGGATAACGTACAATGCGTCGGTGTCAATTCGAATGTGTCGACGCTGAAAAGTGCACATCGGCACAACGACAAAGTTTTTTATTTGTGGTTTATCGCGACGATCTTCGTATGCAAAGTGAAAGTTCCGAATATCGCGCTGAATTTCCGACCACATGCGAATCGACTTGAACCAATCCTCTTTCACAAAGTCACGGATATTGCAATCGTCCGGTGCTCCCAACCAACGCAATTCATCCAATAGTTCACCCAATCGCATCTCACGTTCAACGTCGCCAATTGCGGTGTTTCGACGACGATAAGTATAATTGATGGCATTTTTTATATCTTCCTCGTCGTAGTATGGCAATTCGAATTCGATCATACCGTACAAATTGTTGAAATAATTGTACTTGATGGCGTAGTCGTTGAGTTCGAATGCTCTCATTTTAAAAAACTTCCGCAATCGAGACTCGCAATGCGTTGTCAGGTTCGTTTTGACATCGTCGTAGTACTGCTCCCATATATATTTAAAACCGTTCCCGAACCCGCCGTTTGTGGGCCAGTCAATGTGTGCAGCGTCGACAATGTTGCGGAAACCAGGTAACATAAGCGATATGTTACCAATGTTATCGACAAGAACGGCCTTAAAACAGTTGTGTATGATCGTTGATGGTTCATCGGTTTCAAAAAAATCATAGTTGAAATCGTCGAGTGCTTCATTGACCTATTCAAGAAACACAGAACACATAGAGAGAGAGAGAGACAAACAATCAAATCGATTCATATAAATACAATGGATCGCATAGTGCCGAAAAAATGATGAAATAATGACGAAAAATAAAATTTGGTCAAAGAAATGTGTGTACTTACCTTCATCAAAAATAGTAACGATGCAAGGCATGCGATCTTCGTAGCCTTCACCGATAAGTACGAAATGATTGCGACAATTACATCCCGATATCGTTCACGGATAATTGATGGCAGTCCTTGCTTTATACACCTTTGGTCGGCGTTTGGATCAGCCTTCTTGTGACGACCCATTTTGCAGTCTATTTCAAAATTTAAAAAAAAAACGGAAAAAAGAAAGAAAAAATGCGTTAAATAATTATATAAACAATTGAAGGCTACACACAACGTCAAATCGCAATTTCAAAGCACAAAACACACACAATAGAGAGTACAACAATAACAATGATTGAATGGCCAAACAGTTTAAATCAACTTGCCTTGTGAGGATTTTTCGCTAAACTGAATTCGATTCGCAATATTCTGACAGTCAAAAATCCAATGGCATCAAATTCGAAGTTAATACACAGTCAAATTCACACAACAAAGCCATATAAAATGAAGAATGCACTTCCACACAAATAAAATGAACTTCCTATCAATTCGATACAAAATACACTGTAATACCGCTTTGATTTCTTACTGTGTGACTTTGGAAATGTTCTGTTATTTTAAAAACAAAACAAGAACAAGCACAAAATTCACCGTAAATAAATCTATTCTTTGCAAATTTACAATATCTACGTTGAAATTAGAAGAAAGAATTCTGTTTGTTTGAACTAAAAATCCACGATGCATTCTCAAAACAAAGCACATTTTAAAATGTAAACAAAATTATGATGTTTGCATCTTTTTTCAAAGTGACGATGGTTGAACGGCAACTGTCAAATTCAATTCGAATGTCTTCAGATTTCGAAATTCGAAATTCATATACGTTCATGAATACGAAAGTATTTGAAAAAATAAATGCCAAGTGCCGTTTAAAAAAAAATTCTTCTGCAGGAAATTAAATCAAATCACTCAAATCTAATTTGTTTGCAGAGAATGGATTTTCTTGCGGTAAATAAATCATTAAATTTGAAATACAAAAACTTAACGTACAATACACATATTGGGTGGCGATCATATTATACGGTCAGAGTATGTTTTT